TGGAGGTTGTTGTGAGCTGTGATGCCACAGCACTCTGATCAGAGGGTTAGCTTGAGGCCCTGTCTCCAAAAAAAAAAAAAGAATTATGGGACTTTATGAAGCGTTCAAACATACAAGTTATAGATATCCCAGAAGGGGAAGAAGAATGCCCCAGGAGAATGGAAGCTATACTATAGAATATTATAAATGAAAATTTCCCAAATATCACCAAAAAATTCTGACACAGTCCTTTCCGAGGGATATCAGACCCCAGGCCGCCTCAACTCTAACAGAGCTTCTCCAAGACACATTGTGATGCACCTGTCCAAAGTCAAGACAAAAGAAAAGATTCTTCAAGCTGCCAGGAGTAAGCGCCAGTTGACCTACAGTGGCAAATCCATCAGGGTGACTGCAGACTTCTCTAATGAAACTTTTCAAGCAAGAAGACAATGGTCATCTACATTTAATCTACTTAAACAGAACAATTTCCAGCCCAGAATTCTATATCCTGCTAAGCTAAGCTTTAAAATTGACAGAGAAATCAAATCATTTACTGATATATAAACACTGAGGAAATTTGCCACAACAAGACCAGCTCTACAGGAAATACTTCAATCTGTTCTACACACTGACCATCACAATGGATCAACAGCAAAGTAAGAACTCAGAAATTAAAGGACAGAACTTAACTTCCACAATGATGCAAAAGATAAAACTAAGTAATGGACTCTCATAAAATAAGATGAATAGAACACTACCCACTTATCAATTATCTCAATAAATGTTAATGGCTTGAATTCCCCATTGAAGAGGCACAGATTGGCTGACAGGTTTAAAAAACACAAGCCATCCATTTGCTGTCTGTAGGAAACACACTTAGCTTGAAAAGACAAATTAAAACTCCGACTTAAGGGTTGGAAGACAATTTTTTAGGCAAACGGGATTCAGAAGAAAAGAGGAGTTGCAATCTTATTTTCAGATACATGTGGATTTAAAGCAATGAAAGTCAAAAAAGACAAAGAAGGTCACTTTATATTGGTCAAGGGAAAAATACAACAAGACGATGTTTCAATTCTAAATATTTATGCACCCAACTTAAATGCTCCCAGATTCTTGAAACACACCTTACTCAGTCTGAGCAATATGATAGCCTATAACACCATAATAACAGGGGACTTTAACACTCCTCTTACAGAGCTGGACAGATCCTCTAAACAGAAATTAAACAAAGATATAAGGGACTAAAATGAGACCCTAGAACAACTGTACTTGATAGACACATACAGAACACTCCATCCCAAAGATAAAGAATATACGTTCTTCTCATTGCCCCATTAAACATTCTCCAAAATTGATCATATCCCAGGACACAAAACAAACCTCAAC